ATCACTGCATTTTTTCCCAGAAAGAGCGCAGAGGTGACCTGGTTAGCTGGATTGGTCAGTCCAATTCTGCCAGAAGAGGCTGTCTCGGACCGTTAACACAGCAGGACTCAGCTCTGCTGTGCCTTCCAGAAACGAAGGTATGTGGATTACAAATCGCGCCCTTCGCGCCCCTCAGTGCACATCCATTCCAATCAGCCCACCATTCCCTCCTCTTCCACCACATGACAGTGCAGCTATGCTGCAGCAATTTCCTCCACCTCCGCGATCAAGGGTCTGCTGCACTTGCAGCAATTAAGCGCCTGCGCAGCGCCTATTATTAACTTCGGCGCTAAAGTTCTCAGCAGCCAACTTCATCTTCGGTCCCGACAGCTTCTTCGGCTATGAACGACCCCGAACCGCAGTCCCTGCCGCAAACCACCCATGCATCCTCCGCCGTGACCCCTACCGCTCTCCCGTCCGACTTGGATGCCAATCGCAACCCCATATATCCTGACCTGCTAGGCGCTCCCCCGATTCCACCGCCGAGGACTTCATCTACCCAACGAAGTCACCACGGCTCGAGCTCGAAAGCGACGGCCTCCTCCAGCGAAAGAGCATCAAGTTCGCGCCATGGAAAGAACAAAGCTGAGGATCGGAGCGCGATGCAGTCTGACAGGGAGGTCGAGGACTTGTCGGGGATGACAGGCGCCCGTGGTCAGCCTGTGTTATCATCCGCGGTCGATGCACACTCGGACGAATTGACCGACCCGTTCCCCGACCAGGCAACATTAGCTAAGGAGTCCAGTACCGTGCTCAATCAATTGCTGGTGAGCGACCCGGCCGTGGATATCGAGCGCGAACAGGTACGGCAGGGAGGCGCGTCGATATCGCCATCGACCGAGGCTGCGCCTACGTCCGGGTTGAGTCTGGTGGGAAGCGATGGGGTGGATGATGGAGGTCGCGGTGGGCTTCGCAGTCGCCACGACTACAATGAGAATGCAGCAAAGCGCAAGGAGACGACATTTGGGCAGTACATTCTGGGTCAGACTCTGGGGGAGGGTGAGTTTGGAAAAGTCAAATTGGGCTGGAAGAGAGACGGGACTATCCAGGTTGCGATTAAGCTCATCCGGAGGGAATCTCTGGGGTCAAACCCCAGTCGGCTGCCCAAGATTTATCGCGAGATCTCAATTCTGCGCGACCTTGCCCACCCGAATATCGTCCGGCTCCACGAGATGGTCGAAACTGATCGCCATATCGGTATTATCATGGAGTATGCTTCTGGAGGCGAGCTATTCGACCACATCTTGAACAACCGATACCTCAAGGATAATGCAGCCCGTCGCCTCTTCGCGCAATTGGTTTCCGGTGTCGGCTATTTGCACAAAAAGGGAATTGTACATCGTGATTTGAAGCTGGAGAACCTGTTGCTCGACCGCAATCGAAACATCATCATCACCGACTTCGGGTTCGCCAACACTTTTGATCCTGCCGATGAGATTGGCGAGGAGATCGAGTACAACCTGGCCAACAAAGATTTCGTGAAGAGGATGCGCTTGGACAAGCCGAACGCGAAAGGCCTTCGACGAGGTGATTTGATGCAGACTAGCTGCGGCAGTCCTTGCTACGCGGCTCCGGAGCTGGTAGTCAGTGACTCGCTTTATACTGGGCGCAAGGTCGACGTTTGGAGCTGCGGTGTGATCTTGGTGAGTGGTCTAGCCCGCTTTTCGTGCAACTCGCACATCTGCCTCATGCCCGCCATACTGATCTGACCGTTGTATAGTATGCCATGCTGGCCGGCTACCTGCCGTTCGACGACGACCCGGCGAATCCGGACGGTGACAACATCAACTTACTTTACAAATACATAGTTACAACTCCTTTGACGTTCCCTGAATATGTGACCCCCCACGCACGCGATTTGCTGAGGAGGATTTTGGTGCCTGATCCGCGGAAACGAGCCGATCTTTTTGAGGTTGCCCGCCACAGCTGGCTAAGCGAGTACTCACATGTTGTGTCACACATCACCAGCAGCACAACCAAGGTCGCCGACATCGCCACCACTACGGTACCCTCAGGTAAGACACAGTGCTCCAAACCACGGGCGCAGCCAACTGATTTCTCTTCGCAGCCGAGCCCCACAAGGAAGTCCCGTTACTGGCACGGAGTGCATCTGTCAGAGAGCCACCGAAAGCATACCAAAATACAGCCCCGCCTGTGGGAGGATTGATTCATCATGCCGGAGACGTCTCGCAGGAGCAGGCCACCGAAAAGGCGAAGAGTTCTAGAGACACCAAACGGCGAACCGTCCAGGTCGAATACGTTGCCCCCCAGTCTCAAACGGTAAGAGGCGAACAGTTCACTGGTACGGAGCACGCTCACGTGGAGCCTTCTGGAGCCTTCGAACCGTCATCACAGAGAGCGAGATCAGGGAGCCGAGGTGGACCTGTCGATATGCCGGCAGGCACTTCCCATCGAAATATGGCTGGAGAATCCAGCGCACGAATTGGAGACTACAAGGCGACCGCTGGTTCGGCGCCGGCCCCGGTATCTGGGCATTTGCCTCGCTCGACATCAGATACTGCAGCGCTTACGGGGCCGATGCCGACATCGGCCACTCATGCTACGCGCCCCACGACTGGCGGGTCAATGGCCTCGTTCAACGCGGGCCGTTTGCCATCAAGGGGATCGTATGGGCAGCCTGTGGCACCAACTGTGGCAGCGACCAATGCCCAGGGCCGGCTGGCACAGCCAAAAAGCCGGCAATTCAGTATCTCTGCTCCCATGCCACATGATAGTTCACAGCAGTCGATTGGCCAGCCCAGCACGCAGCACCTTCCACCCAAATTCAATACAACACCCCGGCAAGAGCCGCCCAAGGGTCACAAGAGATCGAACACTGTGTCCAGCATTGGCGAGAGGCTCTTTGGCCGGTCTGGATCCATCTTTGGCGGCCGCGGAGGGCAAGCCAGTGGCTCGCGACAGCGCAATGGCAAGCGTTACCCCCCCACTAGCATGAAGGAGCCGTACGGAGGAGACGATACGCGGATGTCGATGGACTCACGACGCTCGATGCAATATGGCTATAATCGCAAGGCGAGCGAAAATGGTGTCGAAAACCGACCCCGGAGGTTCTCGCTTCTTCCGCCATCTTTCTCGTTGAAAGGCTTCTCCTCCAGCCGATCACAAACCCCGGACGAAGAATCGCAAACGGATCGTTCCACCGAGAATCGCCTAGAGCAACCCCCGTCTACTGGTGCCATTCGATCGCGTGCGCGTGCTACCAGTTACGGAACGCAGGATGCGATCGCCATGGCGACGGACGGTGCACCAGGGGACGAGATCCTCACTCAGGATGAGCCCATTAATTATCAGGCCCGGATTGACCAGCAGTTTGCGATCTTGCATTCTAACCAGTCTGGCCTATACCAACCCACTTCGTACAGTGCAGCATCAGCGGAGCAGGTTTACCCGAATGAAAATGACCACTATTACCGAAACCAAAGCGCCAACCACTCAACGCCTAACTACTACGATGATTCCACTGGGACCTTCGATAAAGGATCTCAACCGTCAATGCAGGCGGGTCGACCCGGACGGGGTCCGGGCGTCTTGCCCAAGAACCATCGCAAGTTTGCTGACGCGTATGAGTACGAGCGCGACTTGGCCCACCGCCCCGGTAGCTCTGGCGCAGCCAGAAAAGTGATGGACTTCTTCCGTCGCCGAGCCAAGTCCCGGGCCGGGGATGACCGGTAGAATCGGCGTCTACATTAATCTAATTGTCTAAAGATTTAATTCTCAACCTTTTTGATCGACTGACGCATCAGGCGATCTTCTATTAATCGCCAATCAGTCGCCAAGTTGGTCACCGTGGTAGAAGAACCAAGAACGACGGGCAATTCGAGCTTTCGGGCTTGCTTCTTGCGATCCAGGGGTTGAACGTTATGAACTAGTCCAGGAGGCTCCCGAAGAAAACGTTTTGACATCCACGCCCACACCCATGGATCCCATCGAAGCTGGCCGAACCGACGGATCGAGACGTATCCCGGTTAAACGCGTTCTATCTTGGAGAAAAAGTTCGAGTGCGACTAGGCTCTTGGATTCCTTCCAGCATTGAACCAGCAGGAGCGGTTATTTGGATACCCCGTGATACCCACGCAGCATTCGTCTCTTCTGTTGCTTGCAGCCATCGGTTTTTCTACATATTGTACCAGCCACCGTTTGTTCCCGCATACATATTGTTTTTTCTTTTCTTCTTTTTTTTTTTTTCTTTTGGTTGTTTCCTTTGTGCCCCTTATCCCCTTACTTTCCTTTGTTTAAATTTTTCGTTTCTCTTTCCCTGTTATTATAGTCCTGTTTGTAAATCGATTCTTTTCACCGTTCAGCCCTTTCCGATCTGTTTATTCGATTCTCTGTGGCGGTGTGGCTCTGTTGGTGTGCTACGGCCCGTTCTCCATACCTATTTACATTTCCAGACCCTTATTTGGAAGTAATCTAATATTGCCTATTACCTTCTACCGTTCCTCGGAGATTGACTCTGCGTACTCTGAACCATGTTTGCTCTTCGACTTAGTTATCAGTCTGTCAGTCTGTCAGTCTGTCGAAACCTGGCTGGTGCACGTTATCGACGTTCTGTTGATTGTCATCGGGATCATTCTACTGTGTGTGTGTGTGTGTGTGTGTTTTCGACGAGTTCCGCTATGCATGCATGATGGGTGAGTGGGTGACTGTGTGTCTGGGGTGAATGTACCCACCATCCAGCCAACGTTTTCTTCCCCTTCCAAGAAATGAACATTGACTACTATGACTACTGTTGTTGCTGCTTGTAGATCAATTCAGATTGGCATATCAGCCCTACGTGTTGTGCAGTAAGTTGAGGTAGCTGTAGCTGTACAATGGCCTCGGGATCCCCTTGACGTCCACAAGCTGTCAAGCTTTGTGGATAGCAGTGACTATTGGGTGATATGTCGAGTCATGCCATGTTTTAGGATAAGCTACCAGCCTAGCCAATGTATATGCGCATCCAGCTTCGATGGGCTGCTGATGGCTTCCTATTTTTCCCCGCCCTTCTCCATGGAATAAGAAATGTGGTCAATAAATCTGCTTTCTGGCGTGCCTGTGGCTGCGCCAACGCTTTGCACGGTGGGTGTACGGTGCACCTATGCCGTAGGGTGTAAGCTTGGAAATAAACATCGTACGTATCTTGGGGGGAGGACTCTACGCAAACAATATCTATTGTGCTGTCGTGTTGTTTGTCCTTATTGGCCGTTGGCTGTGAGTGTCAGCTCTGGGCTTATCATCGGTGGCTGGCTGGCTGGGTAGTGGATATACTGGGCAATTTTGATCCGGTTCGGTGCCTCGTTGGAGGTGATATGATCAGGTTGGAAGTGTAGACAGGCAAGCTTTGTGAATATAGTGAGTAACTTTGGCGAGAGTAGGCTGGTGAGATATGTACCTCGCTCAGGGTTGAGCATCGGCGATGCTGACAGGCATTTATTCAGCGGTGTGACTCCAAATCAGATAACTTGGTGGTTTTTTCTGCTAAGTACTGCTAATACATGGGCGGTCGGCAGTTCATTGGATATTCGTGGACGGAAGGGACTGGGATCTGTAAAATTCTGGGTGGTCTACTGTATGACTTGCTGGTGTTGTTGCTGTTGATGAGGATAATAATGGTGATGGTTGATGTGCATGGTTGGTACGTGCGAATAAGTAAGCTTACTTCCTGTTGGGTTGCGACATCTGGATGATGAACTGGTGCTGGGGCTGTGTGTGTTGGTTGGTTGGTTGGTTGGTTGGTTGGTTGGTTGGTTTGTTGGTTGGCTGTTGAAATAGGAGGGGTGGAGGTTTGGCTCGGCTGCAAATACTGCACTGCGTGTGCATAGGTTGGTCCTGATGTATTGAGATTCTATTCTGGAGATGGTTGGAACATGAAATATCATCTGTACACCACAGACCTCGGGCGATTGATTGGTAGGGCGGGTGATAAGTACCTAGTTTTTTTCTTCTTCCCGTCTTGAGAGCAAGGAGTGATGCCGGGAGACATCTAAGTCAACAGTCGTACACACACAGTGGTGTTGTTTAGTGAGATGTGGATAGGGACTAAAAAACATAATGACAAGAGTGGGATTCGAACCCACGCCATCAAACGATGATCAGGAAGCTTTAGTAGAAGCTGAATGTTAAGGTGACCTTAACCTGACGCCTTAGACCAACTCGGCCATCTTGCCTGTGAATGTTAAACGTAACATTCTAATGTAATACACCCCCCAAACCCCTCACAAGCCAAATCATCATAACCAAAGTCAAAGAATCGATCGATCGAAAATAGCTAGACAAATCAGTCACATTGACAGGTGGTATGTCTACTCGGTGCTTTCAAATAGATACTTGACACGTCTCTGTCCTCTTCTCTCTCCTCTAGCCCCTGTGTTTCCATTGAATCTCACCCACAACCACATCATCCCTGACCGCGGCAGGCTCGGTATGTAAAGGGTTCTGGCAAGCTACTCCGTAAGATCCAACAACCCGCATTTGTCATTAACCTCACTGGGAGCCACACGTGTTTCCTACATACATGTGCACTTGAGAAATGTCTCTCAACTACGGGGCCCAAAGTCCGAATCAAGTCCGCTGACACCCCTGGGCGGGAGAAAGGATGGGCGAAGCAACCAGTACTTCTTATACTTTGTAGCCTGATCATCCCAAAGTTCTGATGATAATGTCAAAGCCGCATCAGTGCTTCAACAGTCCGGGCAAGATGGCCGAGTTGGTCCAAGGCGTCAGGTTAAGGTCACCTTAGCATTCAGCTTCTACTAAAGCTTCCTGATCATCGTTTGATGGCGTGGGTTCGAATCCCACTCTTGTCATTGCTTTTTGCTCCCGTCAATACCGGGCCGACCGAGCCAGCAGTCCCGGGTCTGATATGGGGTGTGGAATCCGGAGTAACGTTACCGATAGCTCGATCAGCATTGTCCATGACGTTGGGCAATGAAAGAGCTACTGCCATCCTTCCTGATCCCGCGAAGGTAGCGCCTTCCCGATCGCGCCGATCACCTCATCAGTCTTTCGTCAATCCACCTGGAATTTTTCCTCAATCGGGTTCCAGGTGAGCCGGCTGCCCAGCCTTTTGTCGGAGGTCTGGCACGCTATTATCGATAAGTTCGAGGCACGATATTGTAGATGCTGACCCTGTTTCTATGTACAGTAACTGAGTATTGTTTTTGGATCGGGTTCTGATCCGTCCTCAGCTCCTTCCGTCCGTCCGACAAGTCTTGCCATGACAGGTATGACCGACGGTGATGCTGATGACAATTCTGATGCTGCTCAATGCCCACGCATATCCGACGCACTCGGACCTTTCTCTCCCGAGACCCTGTGGAGGAGGAAGGGTTGGGTCATGAGCGATGGTTCTTGGGCATTCTCCAATAACTTACCTGTCTGACACGGATAGCCAAAGCGACAGAAGGGTGCAGGCGTGGTTGGTGGAGAAACTCTCTTTGCCTGTCTCTTGTCTGCTCATCCGGCTGGATGTTTCTTTTCTTCTTCGTTCATTCTTTTACTGTTACCCGCGGTCCGTTCACACCGAAAACCGTCGCCGATTGGGATCTCGGTGCCTCTGCCCTATCGGCAGTTAGGCTCAAGGTTCTACCCAGCTACCATCAGCTACTATGGAGTAGTTAGCTAGCTTTCCCATTTGCATTAGATACAGGCGTGGAAGGTAGCCTTTGCCCCCCCCCCCCCCCCGGCTGCAGCCGTGTCGAACCGAGAAGGCTTGTGCAGCTGATGGTGGGGTTGGAAGCGAAGTGGCTGTAGGATACGGGGGGTCTTGGATGCTGGCCGGGCATTGCAATTGGGTTTTGGATGGGTGGATGGATGGATAGATGCAAGCTGGATGTGAGCTGGATGTGTGGTGGGGCGATGCAGTACGTACTACTCCCCTCCATTTATTTGTCTTTCCTGGTTCACCTGGTCGAGATGAGTGAAGTCGTCCAAAGTCTTTCGTGCAGAGGGAATGTCCACGGAGTTGACACATCTGATCTCCGCACTCATCTCATGACCTTACGCTCCAGACTGCCCAGACGGTACGGTTGAGATGGTGACGCCGTGGCCGGGTTTGAAACTAAATCGGAGATTCAGGGCCTGGAGTCTAGAATTTTGGACAACAGTAAGAGCAAGCCACCAAGGTCCTATCCATCTGCTGCTTAAGTTACAATCTAACCACGTCAAGAGACACATGCGTCTTATCGATGCACCCCCCCGCCCCTTTCATCCGAGCTCTACTCATTGATCGTCCGACTTATCTATTGCCATCTTGCCTTGGCCGTGAAACATCTACTGCAGTTCTATATTTTCTATCGCACTGCCATTGTCCTTGGCACCCATCTTGGATAGACAGTACTTGCTTGGCAGGTATTTGTTTTTTTTGTTTTTTTTTGTTTTTTTTTTTTGTTTCGGTCCCTCTGAGATCAACCCCCCCCCCTTTTTTTTTTCTTCCCTTACATCCTATTAAACACGGGCGAACAGGTTAGATGTAAATATGATGGCATTGGTGTGTATTTGATCTTCCAGAACAAAGTAGTGGCAGGCATAACTCGGTTGACCCGAAACATCGACAACAAAGAAAGGGGGG